ATTACAAATGAAAACGTGCACGGCATCCGTTAGAAGTTTGTCGAAGAGTTACGGATAAGTTTGGATAAGTGGATCTACGCTTTGGTGGAAACGAGGAACGATACGGGGATAATACGGTGCTATATAGGTACCTACGTTGAAGAAGTAACGTAAAAGTACGACAGAAAGCTTGACGGTAACAACACGTACCAAGAAAAATTTGTTTGCACTTTATGAAAAGTTATCGTGATAAAGTTGCTGAAAAGACGATTCAACTTTATTTTAATGATGTCGTACTGCTAGCTCAATACAGATACTATGAGTTGTTATATCAAAAGGTTAGAATTCAAGACATTTTTCTTTAATTTATGTATTTAATATAGTATTAACTCAAATTATAACTCCAAACTTCTATAATTTAGGTAGAAAATTAATATCTTTATGAGATCTGTATAATAAAAATAGAAGCTACATATCTTTCTTTAAATATTGTAAACATTTAAAATGTCATACACTTTATTCTCAATAAATATTCTTTTCTGTAACGTAAACAAATAAATAAATTCTAGAAACTGTTAGATAGCTAGTGACATAATGAGCATTCCAATAATGATGCCAAATGAACATCGCTCTATCCCCATTCAGAGCTCTGAATCGTTTTCCCGCTGGACAATTTTGACCTATCGATCGGATCGTTAAGCAGTCTGTTGATCAGTGAGCAAATAGGTATTGTATTGTATAAGCAGCTGCGTAACATCCAAAGGAAATCCATCGCTGAATATTCAGTAATGAGCTTATTAATCAAATCCGTTTGATACGTAAGCGAAACTGCACTTGACGTGCAAGTTAATCTAGTAGGATAGTTTAGTGTATTTAGCTCCACTAATTATTGAATTAACTGGTAGCGGAAAGATCACGATCCTATTAACGCAACTTTGCTATCGAACACTATAGTATCTTGTTATCAAGTTCCAACAAGTTATATTTGCTACGAATTAAGATCATGAAGGGGTTGGAAGGGTAAGGGGATCTACCGTCCACTATGAATGGAACAGTGTACTCACCGAACAATGGGATTGCATTTATTATGGAAAAGGCTAGTGGGTACCTTTAGTAGCTTATCAGAGAACTGGTAGCCTTTGTTTTAACCCTTTACCACATGATCTTTCTTTTACTGAAAAATATATGACAGCTGTGCACAATTTCGTCAGTGGTTTAAATTAATCATGTGTAAGAAACTAAAAAATTAAAAATTAAAAGTAAGAAGAAGAAGAAGAAGCTTAGATTTATAGCTTTTCAATAAAAAATTACATTTCAGAAAATTGTATAACGCTTCAAACATTAATATAACGAAATTTGACACAGCCATCTTGTATTTAACATTCTTAACAAGCTTTTGAATCCACAAAACAGATTTGAATCTGTCCAAAATGAAATTTCCAGAAGAGTGTAATGTTCGAAAAGCGGAAAATTGATTTGCAGTGGTTTTGGATTAAAATTAGAAACTTTTCCTTCACCTAATTGTTGTTTCACAGACACACTGTACATTAGAGAGAGGAGGGTTGATTTCCCCGCGGTAAGATGAATTTTCTTTGCAATGGAATTGAGTATCGAAGGGTTGACGAAAGGAATCGCGAGAATGGAAGCCCGTTGAACTAATTAAAACAGTTATAGCCTGGCGGTTCGCTCGTGGTTGATGTTCTTTCATTTCGCTCGAAGCTTTCGTTCCGAGCCGAGAACCTCCAAGTGGTTGGTAACAGGGGGATTGGTTCAATTCGAGCTAATCAATTTGTGAAACGTTCTGTCGATTATTTCTCGTTCGACTTAATCGCTCGTCGGAGCGATTTTCCTGTTTGGAACGAACTTTTACTATTTCCTGTGTCCTCTGGCACCACCTTGTCTCCAAGATAACGTTAAATCGTTTGAAACTTTGTTAACCGTATACTAGAGTTTGAAAGTGCTTCGGGTGCTTATCAAATTTCAAATAAAATACAGAAAACTAGTGAAATAATTAAGTACGATTGAATAAATATTTTGTTACTTGATATTCTATGTGTTAATGAAAATACGAAGCTAATAATACACTAAAAATTATAGTGAAGTATGAAAAATTTAAATCATAATTCTTACTGTAATTAAAATTAGTAATGACACATTAGTTACTCGAATCAAAATTTAATAAAATAATGTGCATTCAAAGTTAGCATACTGAAATTGTTCTGTTTCTTTTTTAAATTTTGCATAAAAAGGAAGATCATGATTTTTATTCATTACAACTTAAAATAGCAATTTCGTTTCTTTTCTAAAGTTTCTTTCCGTTTCACCTTTCTCCGACTTTAGTTGTTACTTCCTAGAACGGTTGAATTGCATTGTTTTGTATTTAAAATAAGAAAGAAAACTCTCATCCACCAACAGGCGTAGGAAAATAGTCGACGAGCGAGAAATTGCACGATCCGAGAGAACAGTTTCACCGTGGAGGAAAAGCTTCTCGGAGAAGGCAGGCGAACGTTCGATTTATTCGGAAATTTTCCATTGTAAATTCAATGCGACTGGAATCACCTTGTTCCTGTCGTCGATGACGTCGAGTAAATAGCTTTCGAGGGCGGCGAATATAGAACGGAAACGTTTTTGAGCATCTTCTCGCGTAGCCAGGATATATACACAACTCTCGGTGAATTAAAAATAAGCTTGGAAACTTTAGGCAGCTCGAACTTTCGTAAGCCGTTGCCTAGCCTGTTTCCCGGGGGGATTACTGTTCCAACAATTCACCGATACTTTGTTGGAAATGGCGCGTGACGCTGGGCCAAAACAGCCCGAATCGAATCCGATAGTCCGGCTATTAGCTGCAATTTTGCGAATTCATGTTTCTTCCCGAGCTGTCGAGTAGTCGATGCTGCCAGCGATATTGGATCCGCGAAAAATTCTGTCCGCCGCGTTTCCAACGAATTTAAAATGTTGCTCCCATTTTCGAAACAGGCCAATGAAATATTTAAACATCTCGTGGGGTTTCATATATGGGGAGCATTTGTTTTGTTCATTCTACATACTCGAATAAGGTATATTTGCATAATATCATCGAGTTGAACAATTAACGACCATAGTGAAAATGTACATACCGAAACAAGATTTTTGCACGTACATCAATTAGGTTTAGCAGGATAATATAGCAAGGTACATTGAAACATGAATTGATTAATTTATCGAAGAACTCGTAATTCAATTTATATTTCTAAAGGATCTTGACTGCTGAATTTACGAATGCTGAAAACCCCGACCAAACTTTCAACCCTTGATAATTTATACCCTTCATATACCCACAGTCTGAGTTTTACGTTAGCTTTACTCATACTTTTTATGAAGACATATCCAGGAATTTCCAATCACAACGTCAATACAGTATTGAACACGAGCTCAACGCTGAGCATCATACAGTGTATTATAAGATACTATTTGTTGTTACCTCAATCGCGATGCTTTTCTATTAACACATATCCTAGAGGTATATTTTATTCGTAAGATTTTCTTGTCCTCCTACGAACAATGACGTCGCATTCTTAAGTTCTTCCTGTCTCAAGAATCCCTGGAATCGACCTAGTGATGCTGCGTCCAGGGATTCATGGTTTATGACACGGGCTGCATTCAGTACAGAGTGCATAAAACATGATTCTGACAGTTTTTTACGGTATACGACAAAATTCCTGTGTATCTTTTACGATGTAACATTAAAAAAAAAATGCACATTGTCCGTAATGTCTAAAACGTTCCGTTAAGTCGAGACATCAACAGTCACCGATAAGAGATTCTGATGTACGATCCGATTCGCGAAAGCAACTTTTTATGAGGCTCGCAAGAAAGCAGCCAGTAATGGTACCTCCTTTATGCCACGTACACAGCTTGCAAAGCAAGAGAGCGGCTTGTTTAATGACGCGACTCACGCGAACCAATGGCAGGCGTACAACACCACCACCTCATTGTTCGTTGTGCACCTACAAACGACCTGATAGTCACAGGCGCACCATTCTCATTAAAGTCACGTGACCGCTTGTCACATCTTATTAAGTGGCAGGAAATTTGATTTCGGACTACGATACTGGCGCGGCTCTGGTTAAATATGATGTATTACTTCATCAGTCACATTATAGACCGCAACAAATGTCGAGCTCACCTGTGCGGCAGCCGTCACCGTGCACGGGGAATGGTATCATCGACAAATTATTGACAACCATGGGTCATGGCTTGCCGACGCTAGTCAAAGGATGTTCAGGTGCATCGCGTAGGAGTCAGATTCGACTTAGAATATACAGGACGAATTGGAAGCTGAAGTACAGTATCGAGCATAGTAGGTGACATAGGGGTAGGAGGATCCATTGTTACGGTGTAACCGTTTACTCGGAAACATTTGTAAGTTCGTTGTAAGCTCGTGTAGATCTAATGCATTGGTAACTCTCGAATATCACAACGTTATAGAACAAAAGTCTCCTTTCCCTACATATCACCCCAAGATAGCTCACTCCGTTCAGCATTGTATGTAACATACTGCATGCATATATTAATAGTTTAGAGATTATAAAAGTGGAGTTTTCTTGAAATAAAAATGATTAGAGAGGTAAAGTTGAACACGCGTTCATATTCATATGTGTTCGTAATTAACATGTTGACCGGCCTGAGGGATCTTAATCACACGGTAGTTCTATGCAATTAAGTAAAGTTACAAGTTCCTCGGAATAAAGATCGTAGTAATATCGTGATCCGAATACTAAAGAACTCGCGATGAAATGGAAGTTAAAACTGTGCCTTCGAATTTATGAACGCGAGGTATATATCCGACGGTCCACTTGTCAACTTCACAACTTTCATGCCGCTTTATCTGGCAATTATTCAACCCGGTGCAAAGTGAAACACGGCGTTACAAGACACTGTGAATACTTCTCAACTTTCCAACGTACAATGAGGGAAAAGTAGAAAAAGAAATGGTTTCGAGCCGAAGCGAAAGGGCGAGGGACAATCTTGCCCGAGTCGAGCAGATTTCCTTAAGAACACGAAAATAATAGGAACGACGAGGCACAATGGGAAGCCCGACGTACTGCCGGAAAATCTTTTACAGACTGTAATTTTTATTTAACACGACTTTCTTCCTTCTTTTTCTCTCGGAAAGTTGTTCCTTATCGCGTGAAAGAACGACGAAACATTGGAGGGATTGTGCCACCCTTCGGGCGTCTCATTTCTCTCGCGAAACTTTTAGTCGCCGGCAAAATGTTTTGTTAGTGCTACCGAAATTTCATTAAAACCGTGAAGTGTATATAAGATACAAAGAAGAAATTACTTTTCTAATTTCAAGGAACTTAATGTAACGGAAATTAACGCGGAAATTGTGGGGTGGAAACGCAAGCTTCCCAGTTTCTTGTTAAAATATGCAGGTTAAGTGTCATCGTATTAACCAAGATTTTCTGAGTGAACTCTCAAACACTACACAACGCCCTATCGTACAATATTCACGACTTTGTCCATAAGGGACCGTGTTGTGGCTTCAACTACACCTATGGCATCGCTCTGAGAACTCTGTAACAGTGTTGAACATCTAAACAACATGTAGTCCAGATCATACATTTACGAAATGCTGTCGTGAACATTCATGATCCTACAAAATAGGGTAATTTAAATTTACGAAATTTAATACTATAACCTGAATGAAGCTTTAAAATTTACTTGTATACATCCTTATCTTTAAATAAACATACTTCTTATCCGATTTGGAGTAATTTATTTTTGTCCTTTTTATCTGTTGTTTTTATTTTAAGCCTTGAACAACGGAACCTGGATCAATCGTGACCCAAATTTACGAAATCTAAATCTACCTACATTTTGAAAGAATAATTTTTAAAGGGACGATGTGGAATTTAGAAAATTCAAATAATATAAGGTACTGAATTAAATTAAAATTATGGCTCTCTCCATGGTCCGCTGATCGAGGGTTAAATAAAAAGACCTCAACTCTGCTACAAACTTCTCTATCGGGTAAAGCTGTTTCTCTTTCAGTTTTTATTTACGTTATACTTTTCTAAAGTGACTGTTCGATGGATGTAATTCCAGAAACTGTAACTGCTGCCGTTTGCATACAGCAACAAACACTTGACGGAAATTTCTTTGCTCGGAAAGTTTATTTTACGTTCAAAAGCAAAGTATCGGCTCTTAATATTATATACAAGCCCAGAAGCATCGAAACTTGCCTGAAGGAAGCCACGTTTTTCGTGTTCTTCGTTTCCCCGACTTATCGTTCCCTCTGTCACTTGAGCAAACGGAAATTATATCTTTACCAATGTAACCGTAAAAGGCGATGCAACAGTATTTCTTTTCTGAATTTTCCTTTTCCAGACAGTGGAAAATAAACTTTCCTTCGGCTTATCAAATAGATTGAATTCACTTTAGCGGTTTGTAAAAACGAATCAAACTACGTTATAGCTATATTATTTTTGTGCTATTTCATGAATGAACGAGTAGGTTGAAAGCATGAGATGAAGTTTCATCTTTCAAGACTTTCTTCTTGCGAGAATCAACTTCTAAAATTTATGTTATGTAATAAATATGACAGCGAATTCGATAGAGAAAACACTTTCAACAATGTTTTAAAATAAATAAAATGTATTAACACCATCTTTATCTTATATTTTATTTTTATTAAGTGCTATCTGATCACGAGCCTTAATTTTTCTAATCATTTGATTGCGAATAAATTTAATTTCAGTTTCAATTTCATTTACGCGACGCATGTGATCGCACGAGAAGAGAAAAAAGGAATCAACGAATCTAAATCCGTGAAATGTTCCCGATGCTTCGTTAACATGGGTGCAACTAACCCTGAGCTAACACGATTTCCCCTGTTTATTTAGTTTCCTAGTTGCATTTCCTCTTCTTTTTTCTTTTTTATTTAAATTGTCATTCAGTGCAGTTATTGGAGATCCAAGTTTCAGTGTTGTTTGCTGGTACAATGTCCACGAGAATCAGGACTTCATCGAGTTTTCTCGTATTCTTTGTGTGGAAATTTTGTTCTGACTCGGAATGAAATTTTTAACATCGTATTCGATATTAAACCATCAACGAGATTTTCTATTCGTTCAGAGAGAAATTGAGTGAAATTAAACCGGTGAATGATAAAAGGTGCAAAAAAATTAAAACAGCTCGAAAGTAAACTAAGATTAATTTCAGTTGTAATATAAAATTTCTAATAGCTTTTTAACATATTCCTCGTTACTCTTTCTTTAAAAAAATTACACATTTGACTTTAGGTTTAATATCCTTGGTAAGTATGGCTCTCGATTGACCCAGACTCTGCTATTCAAGGGTTGTTACTAAGTCACTATAGTGGAATTATGGTTGTTTACATACGAGTAGTAGGGCATATTATGCTCGATACTGTACACGGCGACCAGTTAATAGGACGTGGCTATAGTCATCCCTAATGCACAATGCTCCCTTATTTGTATGTGACTATATATAGTCTACCTCAACAACGAAAGGGTTAAAGATGCAGAACGACACGGGGGAGATTATCATCTTAAGTAAGTTTTCCACTTTGCGCGGAGGGAAATAATGCATAAGACAAAAGTAGTTTGGCTGGAGGATGCAGTCGGAACAATTGAATTTTTCATGAACGCGCATTCTTTCGTGCATCTCGCTTCCCGAACGACCGTATCCACCCTGTTTTACACATCAATTTCACGCTTGTGAAATGATACCGTAAATACCTCTCGCTCGTAATATCGCTGAGATATGGAGCCTTAAATATTAAGTCGATCTCGACAAGCGGCTGAACGAGTTTCTCGTCCACAATGCTGAACATATATACATACTTCTATCCGATCTCGTATCACGACGGAAACTTTAGAACAAGAAAGTCCATCTCGTTGGAGCTTATCTTCAGACTGCTCGCAGATAAATCAAAGCTAGACGGAAAGGCGGATGATAATTCTATAAATTTCTGTCATTTTCGCAGGAAAAGTTGGCTTTAGAATTTCTTACCCGATAAAACGCGCGAAAGTTACAACCCCTCGGACAAAAAAATTAATCCGATGAATTTGTTTGTCACGAAATCTTTGAAATTACTATTCTCTTGAAACACGGATGAGGATTATTAGAACGGAACGAAAATCTCAAGATACTGTACCATTGCCGAAACGAAACAGAATATATCCAAACAGAAAAGCATATTATTATCATACGCTAGTTACATCAAAGCAATGGTTCGTTTGTAATACAATGCAAACAAGACGTTGCTCTCTTTGATAAAGAGCAGCAAAATATTCTAAGCGCGTGTCCGCCGCTGAAAGTCGTGCAACGAGAGAGACGAAACTTTCATAATACCAGTTTAATGATTTCTTAAGAAAGTTTCGGTCAAAGGAAAGGGGATAAGGTGGAATTATGCAGAGAAAGAAGTCCGGCGAAGAGGGTCAAAAATATTTTGCCACCGAGGGAGGTCGTTTCGTTAAAGTAGTCGTTTGTTAAACTGTTGATCACTCTTAAATTGTTTACGCGATGGTTCACGAGCTTGGAGATGGCCAATTAGATCGTCGAGGCTCGGTCCACGGGAGAAAACTTAAGTGAATTACGTACGAGAATTGCGAGATAATTAGTAGCGGTTCAGAAAGTTTTATCTAATTAAAGGCTTATCGAAGTTTCTGCCAGGCGATGCGACGTGGCGGTTTTCTCTCACTCGCGAAAAGTCGATTGGAATGTTAGGATAAATGGCAATTACTCTTTGGTACAGTTTCTTGGCAGTGATAATATTCGGCAGAAAATTTCAGAACTTAACACATTCGCTACTAGCATTAAACTAGATCCATCGGTTCATCGTAGATCATATCTGTTTTGATCAAATGACAATTAATATTCATTTCAAAGCGAAATTGGTTCATTTAATAACGAGTAAAATGAATTTGATAAAAGGCACTAACTCTCAAATATTAAGACCAGTAGCGTTCTTCCCCTCCATTATTATTTTCCTTAGGGAAGTTTATCTATGCTCAGTACTGTACCACAGAGGTTTGCAATTTCCTACTACCTGCTTGTTCATTTCTGTCGCTTTGCTAATGGCCACTGATATACCAGGATATAATACGACAATCAATAAAGAAGCTCAAGGGAGCAATCCTCCTCCATCTCCACCCCATACCCTTTACCCCAAGCACAATGAAACAAAGCACACTTGCTTGCATGCCTCTTACGGTATAATGCATGCAGTATGCCCGTGGCTGAAGAAATTATTTCGGCTACGTCCGGTGTAACAGGAAACGACGAGCTGTTTAGAAGCTCGCATTCGATCGCTTTCGTATTATCGGTGAATATACTCGTATATATTGACCTAAATCGCAGCTATGTATTTCAATAGCGTATGCAAAGGGAGTACTGAAGCATAATACGATTGTGTAGATTCCTATGAAATATTCATTGATGAGGATTCATCGTATAATTATTGAAAAATAAAATAAACTGCTTTTGCGATGGATGTTGCCTTTCCACCTGTATTCTAACGCATCTGTTTGGTTTGATTTCAACGTAACAGGTACCGTCTGAAAGTTGGTACCGACGAAAAACCGTCTCTGTTTGGCGTCGCTGGTCTCCTGGTCGCTAACCCGTTCGCTTTATTTAATTTTGCAGGAGCAATTTCGAGAATGGATACTACATACCTCGAATTAGCTGCCCTGTTTCATCCTAGTTTACCGGCTTCGCGTCGCGCCACCAGTATTGTAATTAAGACTTGCCAATTACATTTCGCGTATATCCAATCACCGACGGGGATTCCTTATTTTTTCTCCACCGAAAATGACAGGCCGAACATTTTATTAAATTATTTATCGACTTTTCGTTGAAAACCCGAGAAAGCTTGTTTATATATTTGTTCTCGAAACGTTCCAATTTCAGAATTAAAGAATCAAAGCGTTGACATTCTGTTTCTCGAACACCCATTAAAAAATGTTCGACGTGCAGTTTTATGCTAATCGCCGACGCAGAACGTGTAATTTATTTTTCTGCCCGCGAATATCGTGTTCTGTCTCGCAGAGAAATTAGAAGCTTTAAGCACGGCTTTTGACCATAGTACATGCATTGCATATAGCAACGGAATTAACATTGTTGCATCTTGCATACGAAACAGGCAATGCCATATCAGGCAAGCCACGAGCGCCAATGCGCCATGGCCTGCAGCACAGGGATTTCCTGAAAAACTTTAGCATGGTTAACCCTCGAATGGTAAAGGCCGGGTCAATCGTGGCCCACACCCATGAAACGATGCAACGTTGCATCGACTAAAATTTTACACTCCAATTTTCCAGACGAAATGCTTTCATATATTGAAAAAAGGTATTTCAAGAACCAATATATGTATAATTTAGGAAACAAGAATGAAAATGAATTTCTTATTAAAAATCTCTAAACCAAGCAATCATCTAACCAAGGATTGCCTCTGTCAGAAACTATACTCGTATTTTTATATCAAGTTATCTAACTCAATATCCAAATGCAAATTCGGATATTCCCTAATTGTAATATGAAAATTTCCACTGCACAAAGAGATGCAAGAGGAATTCATAGATAGGCAAAGAGGCATACAAATTCTTGCTCTGAAAAATGGTAATATCATTCATACTACTGAGATTTTCATACGATATGTTGCTCAACGATGAAACGAAGACAAAAGTGGACGATTCAAAAGCAGATGAAATTTAGCTGGAATATAGCATAGAGGAATTCTAGTAAGAAAGGCACGATCCGGTAACAAATGAAATCTATAAAACCACGAAGGAGACTTTATGTGAGAGATAAGAACGTAGAGACAGATAGGTTAATAGCAATGTCAGGAATATGGAAATAGGGGTTGAGTAAGCAAAGAAATACGAGCAATGTCGGTCGATTGATACCTTATATAGGGTAAGGCATTTAAAATAGGCCATCTGAATAACTTATCTGCTTTGGATGATAGAAAAAGAATTAAATGAAATCAATACTTACTTCATTTCAAGGGAAATATAATCTGACGTTAAAATTTTTTTAATTAACTATGGCAGCAAGTAATTTATATATATACTAATACAAATATCTAAAATAGTGATCTTGAGTTTTAATAAAAAATTTCAGTATAATTTGGTTCAAATGAAATTAACTGGAATCAAAACCCTTTGGCAAAAGTCACCACTCTGAACATTTCTATCTACACTGTGTACAAACAACTAAATTATAAAATTAAATTTTGTTTCTCCATTACACTTTTACCTACAAAAAATTACTGATATCAGATTATATCACCTTTGAAATAGAACAAGATTGCTTTGATAAATTTTTCTCTATCATCAAACGAAGGCAAGCTATTCAAATAGCCCCGTTTAAGTGCCTCACCCTGTAGATGTAGGTCGTCGAACAGGAGGTAAAACGAAGCTGGCAGTCGATGGGTTAGGGTAGCGAGGATAGAGAAAGAGCCTGACTATCCGATCGGAATGCCTTTTCGAATCTTGCCCTGATTCGATGTATATGAATCGAATGATTCGTCCCTTCGTTGAATAAGCCACTGAATCGGTCAGAGACGTGAAAGGGATCGTCTAAAGAGAACTGCGAATGAACTCGTGGATCGCTCTGAAGGCTCTTGTAGGTGCATTTACATTTTCACTAGAGATCTTTAACAGCTGATATCGTCGAGGTAAATAAAATCCTCCAGCAATTGCAGAAATCGTACATGTACATACGTGGATGGTTAACGATAGAAGCTCTTCCCAATATACAGATGAAAAGGTAGTTTGATTTCACCTCAATAAAAATACATTAAAATGCAAAAAATATCCAAAAGGCCTTAAAATTCTTTTAATCAAGCATAAATTGCTTGACTATCGTTAAAAGAATATTCAATTTCGACCTAAGGGTTTTTTTTTAGGAAAAAATGAATTTCACCATGGAAGGTGTGCACAAAATTATTATCAAA